ATCACCAAGGGATGATTATGGTCCCTCACAAATTTCCGAACAATCCATCTCCCTGGCTTGTCTCTCTTAACTACAATCATCGCCGTACAAATTTCCCGTCTTTTCTCTCCCTTTTCATTGAGAATGGTATCTGACCTATGATTATCAGGAATCCCTCTACATCCTAACCCACGGGATATAATTGACCCATCACGCTCTGACTTACGGGATGATAAAATGCGGGTTGCAAAACCTATCCGTTCAGCATATTCATCATAGTACGCTCTTGCAGCATCTTCTGATTCGAATAGCATACCCTCATAGGGTTCATGGTTTCTGTCAGCTACGCATAAAGTCGAGTTACCTACTGCTGATGTTTCTATACTTCCACAGCCGCCATCCACTGTATTTTGCATATCCACTAAAAAAACATTGAATACATGACACTAATCAGGAGACTGTCAACCAAAGAGATAAGAATAAAACAACTGCCTATTCCGTACATTGCACCAATTAAGCATCACTTTACAAATAGAATGTCTATATCACAAGAATGTCACCCACCCTCAAGTAGATACCACAGATAAAATGCGGGTTGCAAAACCTATCCGTTCAGCATATTCATCATAGTACGCTCTTGCAGCATCTTCTGATTCGAATAGCATACCCTCATAGGGTTCATGGTTTCTGTCAGCTACGCATAAAGTCGAGTTACCTACTGCTGATGTTTCTATACTTCCACAGCCGCCATCCACTGTATTTTGCATATCCACTAAAAAAACATTGAATACATGACACTAATCAGGAGACTGTCAACCAAAGAGATAAGAAAAGTTAAAACAACTGCCCATTCCGTACATTGCACCAATTAAGCATCACTTTACAAATAGAATGTCTATATCACAAGAATGTCACCTACCCTCAAGTAGATACCACAGAAAAAATTAATAATAATAAGAAACTTGAGAGCTTTTGCTGAAGAAAACATGGTTTATAGCACCCAATTCAAAACTTTCTGAAAGCACCAGAAATATGGAAGTGTGAGGGAAAAAACTTACTGAAGACTAATCATGAAAAGCATCATTAAAATAAAGTGCAAAATAACAAAATCAGGGACATTCCAGTTTCAAATGAAACTATGCAGATTCACATTAGCACCAGGAACTACATGTAATCTGTAATTGCCAAGTCAGCCATTAATTTGCCACAATCCTATATATCGAGATAATCAGGAAATAAATATATGAAAACATAGGAGAACAAGTACACGAACAGAAATATTAACTTTTGAAGAAAGAAAGAGAAGCTATCCCCTTTTCATAAAAGAGGAAAAGCTAATTATTATTCAAATCATTATCAAAATGCAATGACGCACAGCACAGTGGAAAATTATAATCTGATTCAGAGAGCTCAATATTCATATATATGATTTAAGCACTACAAAAATCGCTGCAGAAGGCCTTGCTACGTCAAACTTTAACAGGTAAAAAAAATGTAAATTCAAAAAACCCAAACCTTTACTATTTTATAAATACATATAATGTTCATAGACTATTATTCACATTGTTCCATTAAAACATATTCATGAATCTACCTCATTAATGGAAAATTCGAAATTCTCAATTATTACCTAAATGGCTAAATCAATTGAAATCACACAAAAATTAAAAATTAAAAATCCTCGTATTACCGCTACGTATTACCCCAAGACTGAATCTTTTTTTGAAAAATAAACGGTAAAAAATTGATCAATTGATTAGTTGTGACTTGTGTACGCTTAAAACACATACACATACACATACACACACACACAGAGTGAGGGTTTTTATTTATTATTACTTACTGGTGAGGTGAGACCTCGACAATTCCTTCTGTTTGGCGAATTTTTGCGTAATTAATTAGGCATTTGAATGATGATATGAAGAGAGATTTTGGGATTTGATTTGAAAGGTGGAATTTATAGTTGGAAAAAAAATTAAAAATGCATCCGACACATGAATGTTGGTAAAATTGCAAGTAAGGTCCTCACTTATTTGAGTTGTAGAATGTTGGTCCCAAACATGTTTATTATATATTTTATTGGAATCATTGTCGACCTTTCGAGTAATTTTGATCAAAGATTTAATGATATAAGTAATAGTCGAGATTATATGTTTTTTACTCATTGAAGATTGCTTGATCGCAAAAAATCTAAATATATACTAAGAACAGAATTAGGTATCTCAATGAGAACGAAGAAACGTCAAATCTTATTCACAAGTTAACATTTTTACAACAATTTCAAGATTGGATGTTGGACATCCTTTTGGTTCTCCCAATAAAGGGCGTATTGCAACAAGAAAGTTCAATCAACAGACCTGAGTAGACAAATAGAGTATCATGTTAAATAATTTAGGCTCGACTCGACCAAAATTCATCTTTCAACAATAGATATTTTAGAGAAACTTTCTAATCCCGATCTGGGGAAATAGAACAAATGGACGATGCTTTGTTCCAATTGATGTTAGCACTGCAGTAGTACTTGTAAATATGTTATGATTCGGGCTTTTAGAAATGGAAGCAAGATGCTACTATAGTCTGTCTTCAACCTTTTGAGCATCAAAACACTTTCAACTAGGATTTTACGCACGCAGTCTTCGAAATTTCTCACAAGGCTTAAAAGCTTCTTAAATGCATTTAGTACGACCTTTATAAAATGAGCAACACATGCATTAACCTTAGTCAACAGAGTGCATAAGAAATTTCCTGCACAAGATTTTATTGACGAAAAAACACTAGCAAACTTCTCGAGAACTCAATCTAGTCAATCGGCCATCAGGACTCTACACATTTAAACCCTACAGAATCAATGATGTGTTGCATACTACTTGAGCAAACAGGGTGCCAACCCTGGTACCTATTGTAACTCACTTTGAGAAGAACTCATTTCTAAAACGACTTATAAGTCAATAGTACCCAATGTGCTTATAAACTCACAATGCAAGCTTTTCACAAGCAATGTGAGAAAAAAAAATAATAATAATAATAAAAATAAGATTGTTACAGGTACCTAGAGAGTAGTTTTTCAAATTTTGTTTAGGACAGTGTATCCTAAGATGCCACTGAAGCAAAATACTACGTCTTTATTGGAAATTTCAGTTGCCCAAATTCAACTTTCAACAAGGGCATTGCACAAAATGATATTTTGATTATCATGCGTTAACCGTCTTGGTACATAATATAAAGTTGGAGCCATTGGACTTGCATTTCTAAAGAATGCTAATATCAACCATGAAAGAATCCACAATACTTCAAAACTAGTTGCTTCAACTTTTCGAATCATCACCGTGGCAAGTTCATAAATGTCAGTTGCCGAACAATCTCCAGATCTCGTCGACATGACAAGTATGTTTCAATAACAGTTAACATTCACTTAAATCCATGATGAATTTTAACATACAGCACCTTCATTGAGACGTACTGGAAAAACTATTTTGGATCTCCAAATATACAGACTGCTTGACCTGGCAAAGAAGAAAAACGGAAATATTAAATGAAAATAAAGTTAAAAAATATAATATATCAGCTTTCTAATAAGAAAGAATGCCATTTGGGGGGTTGATCAACGAGTACACGGTAACACGAAAATATACTACTTATAAACGACTGAAGAGTATCAAGGAAGAAGTGGTATGAGATGCTAAAATTTTCATTACAAGATCCAACAAATTATGCATTGTTACCTCAAATTGAAATGTTAAAATGGGAATATGACAAAACGAAGCAGTGTGTATAAGCAGCAATACATAATCGAAACTGTTGGATTTGGAGGATAGCTCTATTATAGAAGACATAACTGTGTAGAATACAGCTACTCCAAATCGAACTGTGCAACAAAAAGATACTCATAATTTATAAGCAAAAATCACCCGATGAAACCTTATCTATATGTGACTATTATCAGAAGAGAGAATTTCTAATGAGTGCAATTTGCATTTCACCATCAAACCTGATACTTTCTACAGAGGAATAGCTAAACACTCAGTTAAAGACACTATTAACAATCAAACAAATGCTGTACTCGCAAATAAGATGGTCATACAAAATCAACCAGTAACAAAATGATAGAAAATAAATTCAAATGTACGGAAGCTGAATTCATCATAATTAAAATTGTTATCAAGGCTTACTTCGCTTAAGATGGACATTAGATCTACAAGATCATAGCTACATGCTTCCAAGCTTTGATTTTCTAGAAGACAATCTTGTAAGCTATCACCAAAAAGAAAAAAAGGCAAAAACCTTGTTACTAGAAGAGAATACCAATCCCAGGACAGGGATATAAGTAAATTGGAATTCAAATAAGCAAATAAACAAACTTATAATAAACAAGAACAAGAGATTTACCTACTATAAGTTACATATTAGTTACTTTCTATTGTGAGACCATTTGCCTCAGATGATTCCCCCCTCTCCAAACTGCTAACACTTCATCCGTTCTGAACCGCTGGGTGAATGTCGATTCCTCAAGCAGAATTGACATGCCATAAGCATGAGCAAGTAGCCCTGTATAAGCAATCATTGCCCCATTGTCAATACAGTAACGGTCATCAGTTGCATATAATGCCCCACCCCTTTCAGAGCACATAATTCGCATCATCTCTTGCAACCGCTCATTGCATCCCACTCCACCAACAATTAACACATCCTTCTTGTCACAATGTGCCATGGCCCGCTCCGTGATCTCCACAAGCATTGCAAACAATGTTTCCTACAAGAAACGGATATATGCAGAAACTCTATAAGCCTTTTGATGTTTGACATAGGAAAACTGTAACACCAGATGCATATTCTCTACACACGAAAATATTGATTAATGTGTAAATCAATTTAATCATAAATATTACCTGTAGGGAGTAGCACAAATCTGCAGGTGTGCATTCATTAGCTTTAAGCTTCTCTTCAGCAGTGGCTTCAATATAACTTAATATTCCACTGAAAGAAACATCCATTCGTTTTACAACATACGGAAGGTCTATAAATTGTGAGCCCTTTTTTGCAAGCTGCAAGAAGAGATGGCAGATAGTCTGAACAGGTTAGCATCATCAGAAATACCTCAAACCACAACTGTATGGCATCCCAACAGATTGAAAGGGACATGTTTCCTTTTCATGTTCCCCCTTGTTTAAATCATCAATGTTTCCCTGATCCTTTTTTAATGACTTTTTTCCCTGATAAGTTAATCCATTCAAAGGTTTACAGATTTCAAAGTATCACTTACAATACAGTAATAAGTATCAACAAGTTGAAGTGGAGATGCTAATTTAATTTTGCATCCTGCACTTCAAAAGTTATGAATCATGAAACAACCACTCCGGAGACCAACTTTTACCAGTTACTGACAAGCATACCTGCTCAATGTTGTAGCCTGGGCTGGGATCATTAGACAAAGTCAGAACCCTAGCAAACCTGTCCAAGCAATTCCCAACAGCAGTATCAATTGTATCCCCAAATATTCGATAGCGGCCCTCACTGTATGCAATAACCTGAGTGTTCCCCCCACTCACATACAAGACAACTGGGTCTTCAGCCCCAGTCACTATCCTACCCATTTCAATATGTGCTACACAGCGATTAACAGCAACAATCGGTTTCCTCCAAAGCTGCGATAGCATGCGCTCACCACAGCTGAGACCTGCAAGGAGGAGCCAGAGTCAGTTTTATAATTAATGTATCAGCCGCTACAAAGTAGAAAAACAGTTCAAATCACTCTAGAGCATCGCAGATACCATTTCTAAGAACAATTCACAATACATCAGTTAGATTCTAAAATCTAGAAGACCAAATACCAAATACTTGTTAATTTAATTACTTTTAGTTTGTTTATCACTGTCGAATCAAAAAAATTTTGAAAAAAAAAATTAAATGTAAATTCTATATTTGTAGACAATAAAATTTTAAGATTACTAAGATAAGTGATTTAATGTATTCACACCATCAAGACTAAATCTTTCCATTTTGGAATTAACAAGTGGTATCAGATTTTAATACTCTGAGTACCTATGAAAAAGAACGTTTTCTAACAGATTAAATGCACACTCAGATAAGAACCAGGAATATTCCCATTATTCCAGAATTTCTCTCAAAAGCCACCATTATTTGATAAAAGTGATTATACATCAATATTGAAAAAAATTTCCAACCACTATTATCTATTGTAGTTTTCTTTCTTCCATTTCTGCTCAATACTTGCCCCTAGTTTAAGAGAAAACCAAGCAGGACATTATTGTTGGTCAGTTGTACCTTGAATCCCCAAGTTAATAATTTGTCATCCTTAGAACACTTAATTCATATTACGCCCATGTTTTTGTACTCGTACATTGTTGGAATTAAGTCCTGCTCTCAATCGCGAGAACAAAAATTAAGCAAAACAAAGTAGAAAACATACAAAAGCGAAGACATAGAAGGCTTCTAACACTAGCTGATGCAGATTTTTTTATTTGCCTAACTATAGCAATAGTGCACAAATTTCCAGCACGAAGTACAACTTAACTGTCCCAAATTGACCATTAATGACATTGCAGCACCTTTACTCAAACAAAACAAAAATTCCCGAACACAAAATACCATTTAAAAAAGAAACAGTTAAATCTCAGCAGTTTTGTTAACAATAATAATAACACCTGAAGTGGTGCACCCATGCCAGGGCCTTTGGTGTAGCATAGGCAGTCAATCTCATCAGTTGTAATTTGAGCCTCCTTGATGCAAATATTCCTGGTATAATTGCTGAAGAAAAGGAGACTCCCCAGAATTCTGCAATCACCCATAATTCAGCAAGCAAATGGAGAGAACTTTAGGAAGCTTACGTAATTGTTGCAATTCTTTTTGTTATTCTGTTTATTCCTTTTGAGTTTATTACTTCCCTAGTGAATAAATAGCCGGGTAGAGGAGTCTTTATTTTGGAGAAGAAAAAAAGAAAAAAGTTGTTTGGTTGGAAGAACCTTGTAATTCCTTGGAGAGATTCCAAGAAAGGGTGCCTTGGAGAGATTCCAAGCCCCTTTCCCGTGGTTAATTGGTTCTTTGGAGAGATTCCAGGTTCCACATTAACTCCTTGGAGTGATTCCAACACTCATTCCTTGGAGTGATTCCAAGCCCTCTGGGTAGAAAGCCTTGGCCGGGTGGGGTTATATAAGTGTGACGTGGGAATGGGAAAAGGGGGGCGAGTTGAATTAGGGTTTTGGAGGGAGGGTCGTGTTGAGAGGAAAGTAGAAATGAAACGGTCGTTTTCGAGAAAATTGCAGCTGGAGTTCCAAATATTTCAAATGAAGTGCATAAAGGTCCCAAACCTTGTATTTTTTGCACCATTATCCTAATTACTAATTAAAAATATACCGTGTAAAGACTTTTGAACGATAACATCCAAAAGTCTTTTAGTTCAATGTATGATATCTACATTTTTATTTTGGGATGTTCATTATCTCATTAAGCCCCCGTTTGAGCCCTATTATTTCTCATTATATTAAATTAAATTTTTTTCTTTCTTACTTTTAACCACATAATATTCAATAAAATAATATTACACGTAAATCAAAAACTTTTTAACTACTCATTTTTCAAAAAAATTCCATTTATCTCATTATAATTTATAAATAATGGGGCTCAGACGGCCCCTAAGGTACTCGTTATTTTCAATGGATTGATATATATATAAATACGACAAGTGTTTGTTATTCAATTGATAAACGGATGGAACTAAGAACAAATTATGTAATTAGTCCAATAGTTTGATACGAGCATATGATTCTTTATTATGCCCCGTAAGATGATGCTTCCATCGACGACGCCAGTATTAGACCATAGAGTTGTGAATCTGGTTAGAAGATATTCAGCTTGATTGAGGGTAGAGATGTGCGAGATGATAAGATAATCATTCACCACCTTTTCACATACGAAATATTTATGAATTTTGAGGGTAGGGCTGCTTTTTTTTTTATTTTTCAGAAAAAAAAAACAAAATATTAAAGATCCCGGCCCTATGAAGGCCCAACCGTTATCCTAGTTTTCTGTTTGTAAGGATTCCATCATACAAACACAATGCCAACCAGGAAGAGAGAAATTGAAGAACAAGTATAAATGCTTCGAGGCAACAGAGCTCATTACAAATTTTACAGTTCCAAATTTCTTGAGATCTCTAAAAAACACCAGAAAATGCTTGTCTCAACAGCATATGAGAAAATTATTGTGCACCTGCTATTTCTACAATGAGCATATCAATACAAAGAACTAAAACAAATTCAAAAACCACAGTGGACATTTGTGCTAAATCCACTTCCATCAAAATGTGCAGCTGAAGCAATGTTAACTTCATCAAACAGCTTTCGAGAAGCTATCTACAGACAATGTTTTGATAATAGTAGAAGATCCTGAACATATGCTAAAATTATCTATTGACTTTCATTGCTCTTAAGATTCCAACTCGCTATTGGATTCTCTTTCACAGCGATTGATTGTGCTCCTCACTGTGCTGACAAATCATATCCAGTTGCCTTTTATAGGTTGCAGCTTGCTTTTCAAAGGTTGCAGCTCGATTTTTAGCCATTAAAAGCAGTAAGGATAGTTCCCGGATTCTTTCATGTTCATTCTATACAATAAAAGGTGAAGAAATATGAGCATCATCCGGGGGGAAAAAAAGATGGAGAGAAGAAATAATATCAAAATATTTCTGTATAGCATCTGGCACAAGTCATGCATACTGAAATACTGGAGCTGAATGAAATTAACAATTTGTACATTGAAACTAGAACGTTCATTTCTAGGCCTATCATGCGAGCAATACTATTTAAGCTAAAAATGATTACAGAATGCAAATTAGCGAACATGCAAAATGAGATCGCACGCTCAACAAACAAAAAACATATTCAGGAAAAGTATCATTGAACAAGAGCGTCATCTTGAACGAAACCCTTTCTCAAGAATAATAATGATCTGAAGGGAAAATGGGGTCAGTTTCCAAGCCATAAAATAACATATTCTTTCATGAGATGCAGTGATAGAAATGATTTTCCTAATGTCTTAGGAAAACGTTTAAAAAGCAATGCTTCTATTAGCTGGAAGCACAAAAGATGCCCTTGAACAGACTTAGAGATACCAACATCTTTGGGAAAACTAATGGTTCAAACTAAAGCTAGTGGGATTCGTAGAATCAATTCATTTAGAAATATAAGCAATATTCACTTTGAAATAAAAGCAATATATTTATGGTACCCATCTAGTAGTAGTCGAAGAGATGGGCAGAGATGACTAAAATATTCTAATTCGAGGAAGTATACTGGCAACTTTTTAATGTTAATGGGAAAAACTATACTACAAATTGGCAAATTATCACATAAATGTTGCAAGTGAAACTTCAAATAACCTAAAGTGATCAAGAGTTGCAGACACGATCTCACCAATTTGAATGTATTTGTGATGTCCAAAGAAGAAGAGATATTCCAAATTAACTTAAGGATATAGTAAACAGAAAAGGTAATTAAATATCAATAAAAAGCAAAACACATACATGGTTTTCCAATTTTCTAGCTGCTTCTTACCTAGTCAAAGCACATAAATTGAAATGCATTATATTCTATGAGGCACTTTACGTACTTCTGGCATATCTTAAAATATATGATACAGAGAGGAAAATCCTCATTTATATTTCATATAATTTTGCTGGTACTTCCCATATTTACTGAAACAGAAACATGAACCCTTCCCATAATTATGTAAGATATCACAACATATCTTTGCTAGGAGAAAACTATATACTTCAAGCACAGCATTCACCATTCTTCTCCACTGCCACTTCAATTACACGCTACTACCACCACCACCATCACACGTCTCTAGTTATTCATATTGCTGCTTCGATTTTGGATCAGTGGGGGGTGAGGTGGAGAGATGTTGAGTGTAGTGCATATACTTAACTTTTGAAAAGAAATAATAAACACCAGAAACTTGAAAGATAGGAAATGGGATAATTTGCTCAAGTTTATGTTTCTCATAGAAAAGTTTCCTAACAAAACTATTGTAGACCAACTTCCTGCAAAAGCTCTTTTAGTGTTAAAAAGATATATATATCAAATCAATACATAATTCACATAAACATAAAAGCAATTTCTTAATCTGAAAAACAGCTTTCGATTTTTCAAAAACCCTGTCAGCCCTAAGCAGTTGAGGTCTCAATCATTCTGTTTTGTTTGTTTGCTAGAGGAGAGGCAATCTTTGTTCACGTTTCACTCATGTTTCTAACTTTTTTGTTATGTGGTTACAAAATTAAATCCCTTCAGCTATCAGCTAGTTCAAATACTACGTGCACCACCAAGAAGTGTATAGAACAAAACTTTTTGGAGTTACTTAAATACAATACGAAATGATGACATCCAAGATACAGGTACATTATATGACCCCAAAATTATCCTAGTAATCCTTAGTTCAGAATTCAATATTCGTACTCAAAACCAAACACAAGTGAAGTGTTTCAAGCACAGTCTAGAAAATAACTGATTTTACACAAAACTGATGGAAATATCAAATTCCCCCTCAATTGAAAATTTGAATGAGAAAGGAAGCAAATTCTATTTCTGCGCCCACTAGTCCTACAACAAATTGTACAAAGATCTATCAAGGCATGTGTAATGAATCAAACATTCCAATCCATATCTGAAATTGGGTGAAATTTTCAAACAATTAACACTCAGCATTGTGCATACTTTTATCTTGTCTACATTTCATTAAAGACATGAGAACCTTAATATGTAGTCATTATCTATCACTTTGTTGCTCTTTAGACTCCATCTCCCTCACATTGTCCACGATGGCCTGAATCTTCTTTGAAAGAGATTGATTGTGTTCTTCGATATGCTCAAATACCATTTCCAACTGCCTTTTATAAGTTGCAGATTTCTTTTTCTCAATAGACAGCTGCTGTGTTAGCTCCCGGATTTTATCATGCTCATTCTGCACAAGAAGAAAACCAATGAATATTGACAAAATTATGTCAAGCACACACTGTGATTCGAGACAACAGAGAAAATAATTGCTCAACTAGACTCAATAAAAATGAGGTAAGATGTATTCATTAGATAGACCGAACATTTCTTTATACTAAATCATGCATGCCAACCCATGTAACTAGTGTTTGATAAGAAAATATCATCAATGAGAAGGTGGATGAGCCTGACCAGAAAGGAAAAAAGGAAACACAAGAACAACTGGCCAATTAGTAAGAACAACACCTTGGAAGCAAAAAGACTTGGTATTCCAAATGAAACACGTCAGATTTATGCTCAGGCATAAGTCACATATTATAGGGAAAAAAGTACGCATCAACATGATATTCAAACAATTTAGAGCAAAGTAGACAGTCACTACCATAACCAGCAAAAGCTTAAATTTTAATTTAAGTGGATTAAATATTTTTTCCACTCATTTTGTATGACTCGTAAGTCATAACTTACTACCCACTTATTATATAGACATTCCGTAGAACCCACATCTTATAATAAAAAAGCACTACCAAGCAAGAACATAATAATAACCAAAAAGTTGTATGCATCACATCAAAGGTTTGGACTGCATCACACAACACCAAATGAAAATTCAAAAGCTCTTCAATTCTTCCAAGTTAACCCTTTTTTATTATTATTATTATTTTTTTGAAGGGACCTATGAACAAATGCCTATAGAAATCTACCAAGTGATGCCTAGTGCTTTCACTCTTTCTCTTCTTCATAATTTCATCTAAAACTTTTACCTGATTTTTCATAATAGCTTCTTTATTTCTTGGCATTCTTGCCAACCAAAGTTTCCTTCAACCCACAGAAACATATCATAGCATTCAAGAATAGTCTCACAATCTTTGATTATTTGCCTCTAGCTCATCCAAACTGATGACTCTACTACATTACAAATCAAATCATGAATTATCGATAAGAAAAGGCTGAAAAGAAAGATCTGGCTGCATAGACAACTGGCATATTATGAAAAATTTTCGAGGATCCTGAATCTGAAAGGCCGAAATGCAACTCATTCAGAGTTCAAATTTTCACACCCCAAGTTAGTAAGGTTTTAATTTTACCAATTTCTGATAATCAGCATGCAATAGACCTATATGATAGTACGATCTCAAGTGCCTGAGCCATAAAATCAAAGTTGAATCAAGTGAAGTTCTTAAGGTGAAAACAGAATATGCCTTCTAATAACTTTCAAGGAAAGGACAAAACTGATGAAAAAAGAATACATTTTTAATCAAATTCGAGGCCAGCACTAAACGTCTGCCAACTACAACAGCACCAAATGTAATGACACGGATGGTAAAATAATAATAGCCAAAAGTAATAGTAAAAATTGGAATACACAAATTTATGCTATTTGAAACTTGACAGTTTTGCCTACGACCACGCAGGGGGAAGACTACGTAATATCAATATTAGAAAGTAAAGATTACAACAAGCCTCAATCTTGCAAAAGCTCAAAAAGGAGAATATCATTTTCTATATAATTTACTGCACAATAATTAATTAAAAGTCAATAGCTGTTTTAAATTATGTCTGTTTAGATAGGTAAATATTTGGCATTCCCTTCAAAATTTCCTGTTACCAAGCAATATATTTACTTGAAGATAAATTTTGTCTAAGGTGTACACAACTACCGTTAAGGTATACCATAAACGTTACGAGGGTCATGGATTTTGATTTCTTCAATACAATTTACATTCACACAGTGACCTAATTTCCCAGCAAATCAAGCATTTTCTTCGAGTGGTCTATGTATATTCTCCCTATTCAGAGGTGTTGCTTGATTCCACCTCCCTTAATTGAATTGTTCTCAAGGTTTAGACACTAATCCACTGCCATGAGGAGCAGATCAATGTAGTTTGTCAGCCAACAAATCAATAACACTTGCATGACTCTCAAGAACTAAAATATTAATATAATATTGAATTGTTCTCAAGGTTTAGACACTAATCCACTGCCATGAGGAGCAGATCAATGTAGTTTGTCAGCCAACAAATCAATAACACTTGCATGACTCTCAAGAACTAAAATATTAATATAATATTGAATTGTTCTCAAGGTTTAGACACTAATCCACTGCCATGAGGAGCAGATCAATGTAGTTTGTCAGCCAACAAATCAATAACACTTGCATGACTCTCAAGAACTAAAATATTAATATAATATTGAATTGTTCTCAAGGTTTAGACACTAATCCACTACCATGAGGAGCAGATCAATGTAGTTTGTCAGCCAACAAATCAATAACACTTGCATGACTCTCAAGAACTAAAATATTAATATAATTATCACCACATAATGCAATTACTGATATAATTTTTATCAAGATTATTGCAAAATTGCATAAAATTACGCGGCAATGATTTTTTATCAGTAATACAAACATGTAGCTAAGTTTGCTAATGAACCATTGAGTGCCCACAAAAGTAAAAGGCAAAAACGATTAATGTACATGGGCTGGCTTCACAATTAAGCAAGCAGGTACTTACGGGATATTGATCATAGATTAGATCTTTACGACCTTTGCCAGGATATAAAGGATGAGTATGCTCCTTGACAAATTTTGTGATAACCCATTTCCCAGAGCTTACTTTTCTAACTAAAATCATGGCCCTGCAACCAACTCTTGTTTCGGCTCGTTGCCGTACAATCTTCTCACGCTTGTCAGGCATTCTGAAGCCCTCTTTATTGCAAACAAGCGCACGACCAATGGCAGATCCATCACGCCGTGATCGAGAAAGCTTGCTCACACGGATGATGAACCCCAATCGCGTTGCATATGCATTATAAAATGCATGTGCTTCTGGTTCGGATTCGAACTCCTGGCCCACATACGGTTCATCTGCAGGACCCAAGCTATTTATAGTTTGGGACTCATCCAGTGGGAATAAGTCCCTGACAGAAGAATCTTCATCCACTTTAATATCAAGACCATGCTGGAGTGTCCCATCAGCAGAAGTACCTAAAATTGCATCTCCATCATCTGATCTTCCTACAATATCAATAGAACTTTCTACTATGCCGTTGATGTCACCATCAATCTCAAAATCCACTGTAAAAACATGTTAGACATTCGCTTAAGCACAACAAACACTGAACAGGGGAAACCATAATCGTACATAAACATCAAGTAGTTTAATTCAGTACAAGTAGAATAGTGAGTGGCTTAAGAATTTCAACTGTCACTTACATTTGAAATCATCAAAAACATGATTCATTTTAAAGATTTATTAAAAAGCGGAAGAGATGTCAAGCGTAACTAAAAAATAGTTGCAATATTTCCTCTAAAACTAAAGCATAATCAAATTCATAAAATATACTTTCTGGGCTAAAAGTAACTAAAAAAACAGCCTAATTTTCACAGTAATCACCCAATTATACACGATCTTCCAAATAATCATAAATTAAAAAAATAAATATATATATGGGTTTTTCATTAAAGTTCCCTCATTCTCAATGATTAAAAAAAATTTATTCAAGTGAATATATCGTATATATTCAAGAAAATAAAACAAAATAAACGAAGAAATACAACTATAAAAATCAAAACTTTTATACGATTATGGAGGAAAATATCGAAAACCCATACGAGCAAAAGGGGGAAACTTACTCCAAAATTGAGCAACCTCGTATAATCTAGCTTTTCAGACCTCCCTGAGACGCACACCGAGGTCTGTGAGGGCTCAGCTTGAGGTTATATTGTGGGCTCAAATCAAAATGAGACGGAGCGATATCACTGGTTAGAATATAAAAAAAAAGTCAAATTTTTCTGGAACCAATTATATTACGACACGTAATGATATGGTGATGAAATCGTTCGTGTTTCATTAATACCACAATGCGGGTAAACGGTTAGGAACGTGGATCGGGTTAATTTCGACCCATTTGAAATTTGTTCATCTCCTTAACTTTTAAAAAAGGGAAAATTTCATAATTAAGAATTTAAGTATCACACATTTTAAAATTAAGAAAATAAGTTTAAAATTTCAAAAATCAGATTTTTATTAAAATTTATTTATGATTTAATTAGTTAATTAATTAAATATATTTAGGTCACAAATCTACACAATTTGATCACAAATTAACAATTTAATTAGTTACTTATTAATTTTTTATCACAAATTAAAAATTTTATGTCACAAATTTTTTTCCGATCACAATTCAAAATTTTGTAAGTCACAGTTTGTTCATCGATTACAAATCAAAAAAATAATTAGTTACGGTTTAATTTTTAGTCACAACTTATTTTTTGATCACAAATCAAAAATTTTAAGGTCACAATTTTGTGCGTCGGTCACAGATAAAAGATTTATACATCACAATTTATTTATTGGTCATGAATCACAAATATTATAGGTCACAACTTATTAAACAGTTACAAATTACTAATTTTTTAGGTCACACATTATTTTTTTGTCAAAATTTATCTTTTTTATTGGTCACAGATTAACCAATTTAATGATTACAATCAACCAATGAATCCGTGACCACCACCAAACAACCACTGCCTCCGTCACAAACGACTCCGTTACGACCAAAACCACCACCACATCACCCTATAGCAACACCACTGTCCCAAACAAAATCAACACACATCACTCCCAGACACCCAGGGCCGACCCTTGGGCCAAGCCACCTAGGGCACTAACTAGGGCCTCCAAATTTTGACTTGGGCCCAGGGCCTCAAAATCTATATTAGTTCAAATTCCCAAAATAAGAAAAATGGTTTGGGGCCTTTGGGCTTGGAGGAGTCTTAGACTACATGAATTAAATTATTTTGGAGACTTGGTCCACTTGGAGTCCGTATACAATACATACATACAACACGAACCGCCCCAACCCTTTATCTTTTCAATTCGACTTCCTCTAATCCTCTGCTTCGGCCTTCATTGTTCAGTGAATCCAGAATCCAGGGCCTCCACTCCAGTCTCCAGACTTCCAGGTTCCAGAGTCCAAACAATCGAGCTTCCAGGGACTAGACAGCGCCAACAAACAAAAACTCGCAATCGAACTCCAAAAACCCCAATTTATCCGCTTCCCGCAGACTCGCACGACAGATTCCCTTTTTATATCTTATTAGGTCCTTTGTTTTGGTAAGTAAAATGGATTTCCATCTCCTATATTTAATTTGAATGTCTAATTATTAATCCTTTATTGGTTTATCCTATGGGCTATGGACTATGGTGGTAGTTTGTTCAATGTATCAATGGTGAAAGTGAAACCGTGAAAAAGGGATGAAAAATAGACTAATAGTGTTTTTTTTTATTTGTTTTATTGTTAATAATTAGTTCTATCAGCTTTTTAATTGATTCCCAAATTTTGTTGGCACCATTGGTAGTTACTGGTTACTGCCTACTGGGTACTAGTTATATAGGATAATCCTATTAGGATTAGTAGCCGATTAGGAATCAACATTCAACAACAACTATCATTTCCGATTTTAAATAGTATGATTATCCTCCTTTCAATTTAATTATTTTTCTCATCAATTATTTGAGTTTATAGAGATTATTATTCTAGTAAATGTAATGTACCAAATATGAAAATCCTCTGAAACCTGAAACTGAAAGTTATTAAAAAAGTAACTTAAGTAAGTATAGAACAACATTTTTGAAACATTAAGAATATACAACTGGAAAAATGAATAAGTGCTACTAACATGACTTTCATGAGATAGGAATATCCCTTTATGGTTTAACTCTACATAAGTCAGAAGCTATCTTTTATGGCATCTAGTTTGGACTCTTAAAATGATAAATGTCCATAAGTTGAACATAGCTGAAATGACGATAGTAACATAGATGTACAATTCAACTAAAATGGTAAGATAAGTAATAAGAATAGTGGAAACAACACTGATTTTGGATCAAGGGAAGGATTGAGGACAAGTTAGATGGTTTGGTGTATCTTGGATAGACCTAAAGAGTGGTGAAAAATGATACATATAATCAATTGAAAATTTAATCAGAAATTAGGCTGGCATAGTTCAGTTTTTGTGCTGTTAACTTACTTCAACCTGTTACTCTCATATAACTTGGTTCATTTATTATTTCTTGCAGGTTGATTATTGAATTCCTACACTTGGAATATTTGAGAATCTGGGATACTTTTAATTCGAACTCTGAATTAGGTTCTACCGTTATTTGCTTTAATTATGTCCACTAGAAAATTTGAATCTGAATATTCTAAAAGAAAACAGCATAAGAAGGTTGAACAATTGATTAAATCTTAAGAGCGAGCCCTTGATAAATTTTTTAGTGGTAGTAAACAAAAACAAAATGACGATGTAGTTCATGAAGAAGAGTTTAATAAGAATGATATCAACGATAATACAATTGAAAAACATCATTGTCTTATCGAGGATGATGTTATGGATGAATGAAACATCAATGAAAATATTAGTGAACCATTCTCCTTTGATATTAGTGATCCAGCGAATTGGGAAAATATGAATAAGCGTTTAAGAGATTTAATCGTAATGAAAGGTTCAGTAAGAGATAATGATGTAATTCTTCCAAACGATTTAGCTAATCGACACTTCTCCTCTGTTCATTACACTCGACGGTTACCCAATGGAGAGAATCATGATAGAAAATGGTTGATTTATTCAAAAAGTCTGGATAAAATATTTTATTTTTGTTGTAAGCTATTCAAGAATGATGGGGTTCAAACTCAATTGGCACGTGATGGTGTAAATGATTGAAAAAATATTGGTGAAAAACTAAGAACACGTGAAGTGAGTTATGACCATATCACTAACTTGAGTAGATGGATCGAAATGGAAATAAGATTTCAAAATGAACAAACAATTGATAAAGGTGTGCAGGAACAAATCAATAAAGATAGAGAACATTGGAAACAAGTATTGTTAAAAATAATATACGTGATTAGAACTCTTGCAGAAAATAATTTGGCGTTTCGTGGAAATAATGAGAAGATATATCAAAAAAATAATGGTATCTTCTTAAGCTTAAGTCAAATGATTGTTAAGTTTGATCCAGTAATGCAAGAGCATATTCGTCGAATTCAAAATAAAGAAATTCATTATCATTATCTTGGACACAAAATTCACAATAAGTTGATACTTATGCTAGCGAGTGAGATCAAGAAAATAATCATCGAGAAACTGAAAGAATCCAAGTACTTTTCTATGATACTTGATTGCACTCCAGATCTGAGTCACAAAGAACAAATGTCTATAGTATTGAGGTGTGTTGACATTTCAGCAAGTCCAGTGAAGGTAGAAGAATTCTTTTTAGGATTTTTATTGGTGAATGATATATCTGAAAAGGGACTTTCTGATGAATTATTGAATGCGTTGAATAATTTAGAGCTTGATATCGATAATATGAGGGGTCAAGGATATGATAATGGTGCTAACATGAGAGGAAAATATAAAGGGGTACAGAATAGACTACTACAAGTAAATCCTAGAGCATTTTACACTCTTTGTGGGTGTCATAGTTTCAATCTTGCACTTTGTGATATAACTACTTGTTGTATAAAAGCTAAATCTTTCTTTGGAGTGTTGCAACATATCTACACTCTATTTTCATCATCTACTAAAAGATGGAAAATTTTTAAAGATAATGTAAATAGCCTTACTCTTAAGCATTTGTCTCAAACACGTTGGAAAAGTCATGTTGAAAGTATTAGAGCAATAAGATTTCAAGCTCCACAAATAAGAAATGCTCTATTTGAATTGGCAAGAGTTGATGATCCTAAGACAAAAAGTGAGGTGGAGTGTTTGGCAACATATGAAATAGAGAATTTTGAATTCTTACTTGGGATGGTTATTTGGTATGAAGTATTAAATAATGTTAATAGAGTAAGCAAACATTTGCAAACAGAGGACATCCGTATTGACGTTGCTATAGGCCATTTAAAAGGGCTCATTTCATTTCTCAAAAGCTATAGAGAAACTGGGTTTGAGTCGACCTTGATTAATGCTAAAGAGATTGCAAGTGAATTAGACATTGAACCGATATTTCGTGAAAAAAGAGTTATACGTAGAAAGAAGCAGTTTGATGAGATTTCTTGTGAAGAGATGACAGAAAGAGCTGAAGAATCTTTCAGAGTCAATTATTTCTTATATGTAGTAGATCAAACTCTATCATCGTTTCAAAATAAATTTGAACAATTTTAGGAATATGACGATATTTTTGGATTTTTATTTGATTTGGAAAAGCTTAAATCTATTGATGATGCTACATTGAAGTGCCGTTGCATTAATCTTGAAAATTATTTGAAGCATACCACAGTATCTGATATCGATGGAATGAAATTATTTTTTGAGTTGAAAGTTTTAAGGGAAGCAATGTCTACATAAATGAATGGAGTAGCTGATGTGTTAGATTACATTAAGAGAATGAATTATTATTTTGCAAATGCTTAGGTTGCTTACAGGATATTATTGACTATCACAGTCACTGTTGTGTCCGCTGAAAGAAGTTTTTCAAAGTTAAAATTGATTAAGTCTTATCTTAGATCAACCATGTCACAAGAGAGGTTGAATGGATTAGCTATGATTTTTATTGAAAAAAAAAATGTTGAAAAAACTTGATTTGAGTTGTTTGATTACTAATTTTGCATCTCAAAACGTGAGAAAACTAAATATGATGCTAGCTTAATATCTCGGATTGTAAGTAATATTTTATTTAGCAATTCCATCTTTTAGATTGTACAAAATTTTCATTTAAATATAAATATTTTTTTATTTAAATACTGTTATACGTGTAGAAAAACAAAGTATGAGGCCTCAAGATTACCGACTCGCTTAGGGCCTCCGAATTGTCAAGGCCGACTCTGCACACACCCCCACACCATCACCACACATCGCCACCGCCATCTCCACGCCACACACATCTTCACACTACCGCCACACCACACACACACACACCAACCAAATAACTTATCACCACCAACTCCAATAGCACAATCACTATCGTTGCCGTCTCAAACAAATCCACACGTCACGGGAAAATACCACCGCATACGAGATCTACCACAGCCTCATCAGACCCATCTCCACCACCATCTCACTCACCATCACCGCTGCTGCACACCACTGAGCGCAACCACTTGCCACCATCGCTACGAGTACAGTCGCGTGAATCAACAATCACCACAACCACCTCCCCAAGTCCACCATCTCCTCTATCTCTATCACAAATGCAAATGAAGATCGAGCTGAATCGCAGCAAGAGCTTCACTCCGGTGGGTTGCTTTCCGAATCGCAGCAAGCGCTTCACTCCGTAATGGCGCTGTGCGTGGAAGCACCGGTGACTAAAGGGGTGATCGCGCGACTTCAGTCTGATGGGTTGCTTTTCAACAGAGAGAAAGAGACAACAAATATATAGAAAGAGAGAAATAAGGATTTCGACAGAGGTGAGAATAGAGAGGGAAGTGGGGAAAAATAAATTAGGGATTGAAATTGTGTTTGGGTAAATTGATGAATTAATTTTTTAATATATTCATTAATAAAAAAATCTGATTTTTGAAAAACTAAACTTCACACATGATTTGTGAAATGGAATCTGTAAATGTATTAGATTATGTAATTTCCACTTTAATTATACCATGATAGCCTAATTAGACTAAAATAGTCTATTTTAGGGATGTGAAAAATTTCCTACCGGATGGGCGAGGACAAAGAACATCATCTCTATTTCGAAATAACTTCTATGTTTTTCAAACGAAATCGCATTTGAAAAATAAAGTAATATCATTGAACAAATAATTAATTCGGTGTTTTAGGTTAGGACGGTATTTTGATCCTCGAATCCGTTGTCAGACTCTAATTAGATAGCAAAAGAACACATAGACATTAAGCAAACGATTGATGCATATAATTATACAAAATATTTTCCACCCATTTGAAGCCACCCAAGAAACTAAAAATGAAAGCGAAGTACTAAAACAAAAAGATTTACAATGACGATTTAGGAAATGCCATAGACATTTAAAAGAGACTCTATTTATTTATTTATTTTAAAAAAAATTAATAAAAAGCATATTCAAATCAAGCCCTTATTTGATGGAAATTTAAAATTAGATTTTTAGTAAATTTTTATAAAAATTGTGGAACTCGTGAAATATATGATCAAAATTAATTGTTAACTTAAAATTTTAATCAGTACCAAACAGGAGCTAACTCTTTATTTTTGCTTATCAAAATAAGATTTGAATAATTTAAAAAGTCAGATATTTAAATCAATAACTTATTAAATGAAATCATTATATTTCAATCATGCCGACACATTTAGTCTCGTGGACGAAAGCGCGAGAGTTTTTGGAGGTTGCCAGGGCCGGCCCTGGGGCCAAGCCACCTAGGGCCTCAAAAAATGTGGCTTGGGCCTAGGGCCTCAAACTTATAGTAATATCATTATACCAACACAATAGTCCATGTCTGAATCTATTATACCAGCAATTCAGCAGGATCTTGAAATATTGTTACACGCGTAAAAAAATATATAGAGCCTCAAAATAATTTTTCGTTTAAAGCCTCCAAATTCTCGGGGCTGGCCCTGAAGGTTGCCTCAGTGCATCCATAAATGTAACCATTATCAATGTGGAAAATCAACCGAGCGTAATTATTAGCATGTGTTCGTGGATTTCTCTTCTTCTTCTTTTTTTCATTTTTTTAAAATATGCCCTAAATATAGGCTGAATTTTCCTATCTTCAATATATATTCCCGTGTGCAAGTAGTATTACTTTAATATATCAAAAATTCTCATTGACAATAAAACTCAAACTCGTCATTTTTGTCCGTAGTAATGCAGTATCAAAATAACTCATCCAGAAGCTCAAGTACTCGAATAAAAGATAAATTGATTTATTTATATTTGGCCCCGTTTGGTAGCCATTTTTTTCAAAATGTATTTTTTTCTATCTTATTTTCAACCTCACATTTTTTATTAAAATAATATTACACGTAAATCAAAAATTTTTCCTTATTTCTCAACCACACATTTCACATCAATTTACTATTCTAAAATACATTTTTACATAAAAATACCTATCAAACAAGCCCCATGGTTGCCAATTGACTTCCCAATTTAAAAACAAGACATCCACCATAAAGCTGACTAGAGCTTATTTTTTTAGAGCTTTTAAGCCAATTAAACTCAATTTTTTAATCATTATTTCATTATTTCAGTCGTCATTTTTAAATTATTCTCTCACAAATAGGACCCACTTTATTTCTAATTGTCCAAAAATCAATTATCAAAATCTCTACCAAACAAACACTAAAATTGAGAAAAAAATTAAGCAAAACGCACGCATATGCAAAAGGAACTTTTTTATATAAAAAAGTGGCATGATGACATATAAAAACAACATAGTACTACTTAAGAGTGGGTTCGGCATAACCTCCAACCATTTAAAAAAATGAAAAAAGGGAAGAAGACTTACTTCACCTGGAGATTGGGAGTACATCGTTTAAAGTAAAAGAAACTACATTTCATTCGCCGTTACCATACTCCTTGTTATCAATATCTACTTCAAGGTTGGGTAGTGAGAAGATTGTAAGGATGTAATCAACAAAATTAACATCCTCTACGAATTTTAAAAACATTTCTCTTATTGAGAATTGAATTTAATTTTTTTTTTTTTTTTTACTTCAGTGTTCACTCTATAATGTTTTAGGTATTTCTACAGTACGATTGCCTGTGGATAACAGCCACTAACCTCCATGTGTATAGATCCCCATACGTGCTTGCATCTTTCCCATCTTCTTAGCATGCGAGCCAAAAACGCCTTTGCCCATGGTTCGTTGCTGCCCTCCGAGCTCAAGTCAAAAGGTACTGTAAAACTAATATTGAATATAATGCATAAGCAAAAACTAAGACCAACCATTTTTACTTTTATTTTTAATAGAAATATCGACAACACCTAGGCTGAGGTTTCCTCAACCTAGAACTATTAGGGCGGTTTGGATACCCTATCTCCCTTTATACATAACCTAACCAGTGGAAGCAACAGTAATTTTTTGTGACTACCTGATTCTCATGAAGTATTGACAAATTCTAAGTTTTATATATGGGAAAGTTAAAGTTACTTCCTTTCCACCTTTTAACAATCTAAACAGCATGGCTCAGCACTTCCCAACTCAATTTACATATTTTGATTTTTCCCTCTCATAATAGGTTGGACCAACTTAGTTCGTATGACCTAACAATAATTAATAATTATTACTCGCAAAACCATGATATTAAACTAATAATATGGGGTAAATCCCTTTATGGAATCTCTTATGAATTTTACAGTGCTACTCTGAAGATTCAGCGGGAATAAGTTTTAGCGGCAAGTGCTTCTTCATCTGAAGCATGAAAAACTTGTTCAAGCGCTATTAATGGAAATATTCAGCAAACGAGATGAGTTTCAAACTGTGAAGTGAAGCTAGACAAATAATCACCAAAGATGCACCTTAAAAGAGGAGTTCTACAATTGAAGCCAATGCCTTCTATTCAATATAAAAAGAAGAAGCATCTTCAAATTACGAGTACTAATTTTTATTTTTATTTTTTTCTGTAGTTTTCATATTGGTTGCACAAAATAGCATAGATTAAAAAAATTAAAAAACTAAAATTAAGAAGATCTACCTCATTAATTCTTGCCGAGATTCTTTACTGGATGTGTGGCCCCTACAGCATCACAAGTTTCAACACAAATTACCTCCAACAGATAGAAAGGCTCAAATTATCAATTAATAAAAATGCTGGCCAGAAGCTTATGCTGAGTTACTTGGATATTATTCTGACATAGTGATATGCCGCATATATTGGTATATATTTTCTTGGGAGTACATTATCTCAAGTAGGTTTTCAGATCATTGTAGAATGGTTTCTTAGATGTGTGACAAAATGCCAACGAATAAGATTCCAAATAATGATATTTGCAATTCAGAATGGAAACAGATACATATATATCATCCATATTGCACTATCCTAACTGTAGAGAACATAATTTCAAGTAGGATCAAGATTACCAGAATAATGCTATATGTTGGTGTCAAAAAGTTATGCAGCACCTTTTGACTCAACTTCAAAGAAATTACGAAAAGCAGAGGGACTGGTGAGGTCGGAATCTGGACTACTTCCAGACTCGAAGGGAGGTATGCAAGCAAGCGTAAAGTGTATTAATAAGAGAGAATTAAATTCTCTCTCTCCCTAAGAAATGGTCC